TTTGTTGGACCTTACAGTTGGTGGTGCATCTTTTTTTCCCTGTGTATGGGTTGTATGTTTTAGGCAAATGTGTCAGCGAAAACATCATAAGGAAAAGACGGTGGGGCCACTGTTCTCTTGCAGACCATGGGAAGGTCAGTGGGTTCATCTACATGGCAGTGATAGTGTTCCCAGCAGTGTCCTGTTCTGCGCTTATTGTCTGGGCCAGCAGTTCCATGTTTCTTGCCCTATCCAGGCACAAGCAGTGGGTCCAGCATATCCACAGAACCAAGGTGTCCCCCAGAGTCTCCCCAGAGTCTAGAACCACCAAGAACATCCTTATCCTGGTGGGCTACTTTGTGTCTTTCTACACCCTTTCCTCTGTCTTTCCTGTTTTTTTGTTTGTTTGTTTGTTTGTTTGTTTGTTTTTTGGCCGGGGCTGGGTTTGAACCTGCCACCTCCAACATATGGGGCCAGCACCCTACTCCTTTGATCTACAGGCACCACCCTGTCTTTCCTGTTTTTATTGCTCTTTTTCATGACCTTAATTGGTGGTTGATGAACATCTCTCTCCTAATTTCTCTGTGTTTTCCTACTTTCAGCCCATTTTGGGTGATAAGCCGTGATTTCTCCAGCATGGTGGTGTGTGCCTATAGGCTGAGGTGAAGGATGGCTTGAGCCCAGGTGTTCTGTGTCAGCCTGGGCAATGTAGCAAGACCCCATCTCCACAAAAAGAAAACAATAAAAATTGAGTCTGCTGCTCAATATTTTTTAACCCATTATTATTTTAAAGTGAGTTGTCTGAACAGGGTAGACAGCTTAAATACATGATGCCTGGTAAAATTTGAATTTCAGATGAATAAAACTTTTTCAATATCATGTTCTAAATTATTCCTTCTTTATCACACTAAGCTCTCATTGAGTATTTTATATTACTTTTAATATGTTTTTTTTCTATAAAGCAGTTTGAGGCTCACAGCAACATTGAGTGGACAGCACAGAGAGTCCCTGTGCACCCCTGTCCCTCTCAAGCACAGATTACCCCACTGCCAATGTCCCTTGAATGTAGGACATTTGTTTCAATTGAGGAACTTACACTGACACATCATTATCACCCAAAGTCCATGGGTTTACATCAGCGTTTACTGTTGGTGTTGTATATTCTGTGGGTTTTGACAAATGTCCAGTAACATGTATCCATCATTGCAGGATGACATCAAACAGTTCCACTGCCTTTGAAGGGGTTTACAACTGTGCTTTAACCTAAATGTCTACCTTGAACCAGAAATGGTTTAGCACCAGGGAAGAGCAGGAAGAACAAACTTTCAGGCAGCTAGAACAGAATATGAAAAATGTTTGCAGTGGGAAGGTTAGAGGGAGGTTCTGAAACAAAATAACACAAAGAGGAAAAGGTAGGCCTGGGCTAGGGGATTTCAGGCCTGATATGCGGCTAAGTGATGTAGGAACTCTCTGATTGCCTTGAGGAGCCTTTGGGAGGGTTTGGGCAAGAGGCTGACAGATTTTATTCACATGAAATTTGTTTGAACTGTTTGTCACTGTTTAAGGCATCAAAGCAGGGGTGTCTGGCTTTTAGCAACTAATGTTGATAAATTGCTTCTGGTTTGGGGGTTTGTGGGACACTTTTGTTAACTGCAGGAGAGCAGCTTGAATGTGAGGTGTACCAACTGTTATGCCCTGAAAAGGGACCTTGATGAATGTACCACGCTGGGTGGTCTCTGACTCCACCTGTGCCTGTCCAGCAGAGCGCCATGGCCTCAGTGCTCCTTTCAGCATGAGGTGGTGCACTGTAGAGACCTCCCACACCCCTCATACTCCAGCTTGATGTGGAAGGAAGGACAGCAAGTGCGCTCCCCTCAGGCTGTCCAAAGGAAGATTATGGAATGTTAAAGCACATATCTGGGAAGCTAAGATCAGTATCTGGAAAAGGGGGCCCAGTGCCTTATCACTGTGAGCTGGCTGGTTTGGGACAAAGCATTTCACCTTGCTGGTATCATTTTCATTTACAGACATCCACAAAGAATAAGGATCCCCCTCTCCCAGGAAGCCTATCACAGAACTGGAGCATATGATTTAGGCTGCGTGTGGTGGTGGTATACCAGGGCCCTTTGAGCCCAGTGGTGGCCAGCTGTCCTGCTTGTTTGGGACTATGGGATTTCCTGGGATGAGGGAATCTCTGAGCTGAAACTTGGAATGTTCTGGGAAGATCTGGTTACTGTAATTATAATAAAAACAAAATCAAAGCTGGCTTCCATAGCTAAGTGGTTAGCACACTAGCCCCACACCCCAGCCTGATAAGCAAAAGAAACCAAAAACAACAAAAATCAAAATCAAGGTTCTACCAAATTACCACAAAAAGTGTCTTTTGGGGCTCGGCGCCTGTGGCTCAAGTGGCTAAGGTGCCAGCCACATACACCTAAGGTGGCGGGTTCGAATCCAGCCTGGGCCTGCCAAAATAACAATGACAGCTGCAACCAAAAAAAAAAAAAATAGCTGGGTATTGTGGCAGGTGCCTGTGGTCCCAGCTACTTGGGAGGCAGAGGCAGGAGACTCACTTGAGCCCAGGAGTTGGAGGTTGCTATGAGCCAAGATGCCACAGCACTCTACCCAGGGGGATAGCTTGAGGCTCTGTCTAAAAAAAAAAAAAGTGTCTTTTGGGCCCAGCAAAGTGGCTCATGCTGGTAATCTCAGGACTCTGGGAGGCTGAGGCAGGTGAATTTCTGGAGCTCAGGAGTTAGAGACCCCCCTTCTCTACAAAAAATATAAAAACTAGCCAGGCATTGTGGCTGGCACCTGTAGTCCCAGCTACTCAGGGGACTGAGGCAGGAAGATAACTTGAGCCCTGTAATTTGAGGTTGCTGTGAGCTATGATGCCACAGCACTCCACCCAGGATGACAGAGTGAGACTCTGTCTCAAAATAAATAAATAAACATATATTTTGCTGTGTCCCTGTAGACACATTGAAAGGAGTTACAGGGAAGTGCCTGTGGCTCAGTGGGTAGGGTGCCGGCCCCATATATTGAGGGTGGTGGGTTCAAACCCGGCCTCAGCCAAACTGCAACAACAACAAAAAAAATAGCTGGGCATTGTGGTGGGAGCCTGTAGTCCCAGCTAGTGAGAGGCTAAGGCAAAAGAATTGCCTAAACCTAGGAGTTGGAGGTTGCTGTGAGCTATGTGACGCCATGGCACTCTACCAAGGGTGATAAAGTAAGACTTTGTCTCTACCAAAAGAAGAAGAAGAAGAAGAAGAAGGAGAAGGAGAAGGAAAGAAGGAAAGAAGGAAAGAAGGAAAGAAAAGAAAGGAGTTAGTCATGTACTATGGTGACCCCTAATCACCAGGGCCTTGGGCTGGTACCTGTCCACGGCCTGTTATAATCAGGGCCCCACAGCAGGTGGGAGGTGGTACAAACCCAAAAGATGATGGAAAATCAAAACATATAATTGAATATCTATCTCTAATTCTTCCATCATTCTGTCTCTTTAACCATGCATGCACTCTCCAGCCAAAAATGACCTTTCCCAAGCCTCCTTTGTGGCTAAAAGTAGCCATGTTTAAAGGTGTGTGAGCTAAAATGATCAGTGACCCTTCAAGATATTTCTTTAAAATAATTGCATGTTCCCCTTCCCTCAGCTTCTTTTCACTTTGAAAGGAGATAAAACACCCCCTTGGACCCAGAGATAAAACTGCATAGCCAGAGAGGACAGAACCATCCTACCAGTCCTGAACAGCCTCTTCTGGACTGTTTTGAGAGGTTAGGTAGGTGATTCTCTTGTTTACACTGTTATGTTTGGGGCTCTTTGTCATGTCAGCATTGCCATCATGGGTATTCCAGCTATCAACTGGGTGTTCAGCTCTAGAAGCCCCAAACTGCTCTAGGAGATGTTTAACCACCCTGACGCCATCCCAGCTGAACTCCAAGAGCCACTAAGACACCAGAAGTGCGAGTGAAGCCACCTTGGACCCTCAATTCAATCCACCCACCAGCTGAATACTACCAGTGGTCTCTATCAAAGCCACATGGAAGAGAAGAACCATGTGACCAAGCCCTGGTCAAATCCCTGACCTACAAAATTAGGACACATTTTACAACAGTTGTTGTTTTAAGCCACTAAGTTTTGAGGTCCTGTGTTATGCACCAATAGATACCTGGAATAGGTATTATTCTTATCAGATAAGGAAAAATCAAAAGCAAAAGGCATTAAGGAGGATAAAACAAGGCTGTTCCAGGAATTTATAACACATTAAACTTAAATGATGCTAACAACATAGCTTCAGGTTATATAAAAAGGTCTAAAACTAATGAACAGGGACTAAGTCAGATATCCAGAAATTTCCAAAAATTAGATAATTCAAAATTGATAACCTCCAATAGGTTGTGTTTTTCAAGTCCCACACCTGACTCTACTGTCCTGATGTTGCCACTTCCAACAAATTCCCACAGTAATTAAAGATAATACATTGACTATTTGACAAGAATTATTTTATTCTCCCCAACCTGCTCTAGATTTCTGGAGGGGACTCAGTTGGGTTGGAAAGGAAGAGAAGAGGAAGTGAGGTATGTTGAAGCATCTTTTCAAGTCAAGACATCATAGAAGCTCAAACTTAAGAGAGTAATTTGTATTATTCAATAGCTCATGTCATAATTGGGATGATTCTGAAAGAATATAATTACTTTAAACATATTACAGGAACATTCCCTGATTATCCCAGAATCTTCCAAATGGTCCCTAAATTACTCTTAGGTTCACTCACAACACTATATTTTTATTCCCAGGATAAATCAATAAGATTTATCCTGAGACTCTCCAGGGATTTTTTTTTTTTTGGAAAACAGTTCTTGAAATGCTCAAAAATTTGTGAGATTTGGAGATTTAATTTCAGGATCTTAGTCTCAGGGAGGAGTTTCTAGAAAGAGCCTCAGTGGGAACAGGAAGAGCCGCAGACAAATGAGGAGGGACATAGAGACATCTAAGCCTTCAGGACTGATTCCTCCTGGAGAACTTACTCGCCAAGCATGCCCAGACCTGCAGAAGAGAGACAAGTAGATTTTGAATAGCTCTTCTCACCACCACTGGCAAGGTTCTTGAGGCTGGGGATGAAACTAGAAAGGACGATGTTTTTAGTTCACCTCAGACCCAGTAGCCTTCCCTTTTCTGTTTTCCTCTGTCCTTTTTGTTCTTCCTTCTCTTTATGTTCATCACCCACATGTTTACCTTTTCCACTCCTGTTTTAAGATGGCACGTGCTGGTGGTGCCAGAGAATTGTCCAGTTTGGGTGAGAATTAGTGAATTCAGGGGGTACTTCAAAACCACATTGTCCAAGACATGCTTTTGAGATGAATCAGTACAGTTGGAATAAAAGCATAGTGTTAGTTTCCAAGAATTGGGCTGGGGTTAAAGAAGGAGATGGGATCAACATGAACGTTCAACTGCAGGGTGGCAGAGGAAGGTGGGGTTTGAGAAGGCTGTATTTGGAGAGTTCAATCCACTCATCTAACAAATATTTACCAAGCACCTGCTATACGTCATCCATTGTGCCAGACAGTGGACGACACAGAGAGGGATCCCACTTGCACGGAGCTTCTGTAATAAGCGAACACACACATGGAAGAGAAAGAAGCATGTAAGTGACAAATGCTACTATTAATAAGAAATGAGATGACCAAACAGAGAAAAAGTACACTTTTTCTAGATGTAACAGTCAGAGAAAGCCTCTAAGGAGGAGGCCAATTACTAAACTGATTTCCAAATGGCAGGAAGAATTCAGGCATCCTGAGCTCTGGAGACAGAACATTCTAGACTGAGGTACTAGCTGTGTAGAAACCCTAGGGAAGTAGTGACCAGGGTTCCTAGAAAACCAAGGACTGTGGTTGGCAGAGCAGGGCACATGTGGTCATGAGCACAGACATGTACATGGCTTGAGGTGGGACAACGTGTGGGGAATGAAGGTCATGTCTGGAAGGGAGGTCAAATGTGGAACTGAGCCAGGGGTCCAAAGTGAAGGGGTGTGAAGTCAGGGCTGTAGTGAAGGCTAATATTGGGGTGCCATGGGTAGAGACCAAGATCAGGGTGTGGGATCACAACTGGAAAAGTGCTAATTGTGGAAAATAAGGACTGTGAGGCAGGGTCTGAAGTTGAGGAGCAGAGCTGACATGAGCAGTCAGGGCCAGACAGGGGTGAAGAGTGATAGTGTGGACAGGATGGTGGGGGGGGGGCTCACAGTGAGCAGGTTCTCAGCTAATCCTAGTTTGCCCCCAGTCCTCCCTCAATCCTTGGGCTCTGCCCACCATGTCTTCTCCCCCTTCTATCTATTTCTCATTCATGTTTCCCTTGTCTTTACCTCTGTTCTCTGGTTTGGCAAAAGTCTCCACCAGACTCTTCTTGGGGGCCCGCTGGGAGCGGGAATAGGGGAGTCCATCTAGGAACAAAAGCTTGATGTGAACAAGAATAATTATGCTTTCATGAGACATTAAGTTCAGTGCTTCGTAACACAAACGTGGCTTTGCTTCCCTTATTTTCTTGGAATCTTATGAGATTTAGGGTGGTCCTCAAATCTCTCAATGGATTTGGCCTTGCAGGAGACACCTGGCTTTGTCCAGAGCCAATTTTGATGGTCACAGCTACGGACAGGGGATGTGTCTAATGGGTGGAAGCTGGGGAAGCTGCTGAACATTCTACAGTACACAGCAACTGCTCCCACAGCAAAGAATCCCCCAGCCCCAGACGGACAGTGCCAAGGTTGGGCAACCTCATCATCAGTGCCCAGATCCCCCCAGTGGTAGAACGCCAAAGTCACACTGTGCACACCTGAGTGTCCGACACCTCCCCTCATGCCTCTGTGATCCTGTCCTTTGGAATGGAGGATCAGAAGGAGGGGAGAATCTCAGAGAGATTGCTCAGGTGAGAAGATGAGATAACAGGACAAGCCCTGAGCAAAGATGGAGATTTTGTATCTTTTGTTACAGCATGGATAGATTTGGAAAAATTCTCCTAAGTACTACAAGAATGGAAAATCAGCTCGGTGCCTGTGGCTCAAGTGGCTAAGGCACCAGCCACATACACCTGAGGTGGCGGGTTCAAATCCAGTCCAGGCCCGCCAAACACCAATGACGGCTGCAACCAAAAAATAGCTGGGCGTTGTGGCGAGCATCTGTAGTCCCAGCTACTTGGGAGGCAGAGGCAGGAGAATTACTTGAGCCCAGGAATTGGAGGTTGCTGTGAGCTGTGATGCCACAGCACTCTATCCAGGGTGACAGCTTGAGGCTCTGTCTCAAAAAAAAAATGAATGGAAAATCCAGCATCTCACATACTCAGTACTAAATTGAAACTTGTAGATTAACAACAACATGCACACAAGGGAGAAAAACTGAATTAAATTGAAGAGGGGGGTTGGTAGGTTCAAACCTAATGGGCACAACGAGGGTACCTTGCACCCCTGCTGGGTGAAGATCACAACTACAACATGGACTCTACCTTATAAATGCAAATAATGTAACTGAATCATATGTACCCTCATGTTAATTTGAAATTAAAAAAAATAAAAGAGGAGATGGACAAGATGGATGAGGAGCTTACAAGGAGATGATATCCACCACAACAACCACAACTCATTCTGTTTCTGCCATGTGTTGCACCCTTCTAGAAATGTACACTCCTTTCTCACTGAGTGAGTCATGTAGCAGAGTCCTGAGGTGGGTCCACGCACACTGTGTCACCACAGAGGGATTTGGAGCCTGGAGGAAATGTATCACTTCTCAAGATCCCAGAAGCCCACATAGACCTGGTTCTAAAGCCAGCAATGAGCAGAAGAGTGCTGGAAATGGGGGATCTAACTCTCCATTCACTCACTGAGGACCCTCCACAGGTCTAGGATCTCCAGAGCTGCTTCCTTCCTCCTGTCTTGCTTGTCAGCCAAGGAAAGGTGAAGGGCTGGAAAGAACAAAAACCAGGCCATCTGTTAGGAGTGACTACAGCACACACCACTCCCAGGTGGGCACCTCCACCTGCTCTGCAAGACGGGGCACCTTCTGACCACCCTGAATTACCAGCAGGGAAACTGGGGTTCTGCTAAGTCTAGTCACTCACTCAGAATCACACTGCTGCTAGGTAGCAGCACTGGGGATTGAACCCACTCATGTCTGGGTCCTGATCTCCCACTTGTTCTGCTTGGCCATGCTGCCACTGGGGCCTGGGATTCTGGGACCACTGAATAAAGCCCAAGCTGTACCCTGCCTTGAACATCACAGAGGATCTTGGGATGTTGAGGATTTAATAGTCACTAAGCAGCACATAGCCACATGCACAACTAGTGTTCGAGGAAGACACACTTGGAGCAACGAGGAGGGAGAGACGAGTGGGTGCAAGAACGGAGGAGCAGCACTGCACTACATGGCACCCACTGTTACATGGCACCCACTGTGTGCCAGGGGCTGCTCTAACTCAGTGCCAATGACATCCTGGGAACCAGGGCCATCACTATCCCCACTGTTGCAGATGAAGAAACCAAGGCAGAGAGAGACAAAGGTTGCACACCAAGCAGGTAGCAGAGCTAGACTTTGGTCCCAAGGTTTCGGTTTCAGAGTGCACACGCCTTTAACTCTGCTTAGATGGATCTGGAAATTAATTCTTGGCTCCAGTGAGTACGGGTTGAGCATACTTGCAAGGTCCCAAACACATAGTCTTCAGGCAGTGGGTAGACATGGACCAGGAGTGCAGAGCAGAGGAAAGGCTCACTTACCAGGACCCAGGAGGTAGCCAGCACTATTGAGCGTCCACCCTCCTTGGCCCTGAATAATGACAGAGAAATCAAGACTTAGGCAGACAAAAGGGGCAGCAGGCATCCATCCAACAGGCCAGGATGGCATGGGACATCACACTGCTTTCCTGCAAGCCTGGGAAGCAAGTCTGTTTATCCCCCACTTCACTCATAAGGAAACTGTGAGAGTAGAATGTCGGTTGCCAGGGACTAGGGGAGTGAGCGTGAGGAATTGTTCTTCTACAGGTCCGGCTTCAGTTGTGTAAGGTGAGTAGGTCCCAGAAATCCACCTGTCATTGCCCACATGATAAGGAGCACTTTAAAACATGTTAAGAGAATAGATCTCATTCTAAGGATTCTCACCAACACACACACACACACACACATGCACACACACATGCATAGGCACACAAGGAAACTTTTGGAGGTGCTGCTTCTGGGTGTGTTTAGTATCTCGGGTGTGGTGATAGCATCGGGGATGTATGCATCTCTCCAAACTCATCAAGCCATATACATTAAATGTGTGTAGTTCTTTTCTTTTTTTGTAAATTCATTGTTCCTTAATAAAGCTTTAAGTAAAAGCAATACTATAAATGCCTTACCTATGTAGTTTGCTAGTTATTGTTATCCATCATACAAGGCCCTGTTCAAATCCAGCCTACGTTACTGGTAAGTCTCTAATTTCCTTTAATAAAGGTATCAGCTAACATTTATCCTGGCAGCATCTGTTATAAGCAGGACTGAGTACAAAATTTGTGGGGCCCAGTGTAAAGTGAAAGAATGGGGCCCCTTGCTCTAAAAGTATTTAGAATTTTGAGACGGTGATAGAACAGTAAGCCAAGCCTGGGTCCTAAATGACTGCTATAGGTCTAAGCCCCTGATATATTTATTTAAC